AAGGAAGACACGGAGCTATGGCTTACATCTCTGTCTATGTCAGAAATGAGGATGAGGAATAGAATGGGAGAGAGTACTGTGCCTTGTGGAACAGAGCTTTTTACTGTGGCTGCCTGTGACTTTACTCTGTTTACTATTACTCTTTGTGTTGTAGATCCATCTACCAACTTTTCCCGTTATTCCTTTATCCCCCATTTTGTGTGCTATTACGCCATGGCCACACTTGTCGAAAGCTTTTGCAAAGTCTGTGTATACTACATCTGTATTTTGTTTATCCTCTACAGCGTCCAGGACCTTGTCATAGTGGTCCAGTAGCTGGGACAGGCAGGAGCGACCTGCTCTAAACCCGTGTTGCCCTGGGTTGTGTAATTGATGGGTATCTAGGTGGTTGGCTATCTTGCTTCTTAGAACCCTCTCAAAGATTTTTATGATATGGGATGTTCGTGCTATCGGTCTGTAGTTCTTTGCAATTGCTTTACCGCCACCTTTGTGGAGTGGGGCTATGTCTGTTGTTTTTAGTGTGTGTGTGGGATGACCCCTGTGTCCATGCTCCCTCTCCATAAAATGCTGAAGGCACGCAATAGGGGCTTCTTGCAGTTCTTGACGAACATGGAGTTCCACAAGTCTGGGCCTGGGGCAGAGTGCATGAACATGTCATTAATTGCCTCTTCAAAGTCTTGTGGAGTTAGAATAATATCCGATATTTTTGGGATGGCCAAATTTTGGGTTTCGTTCATAAAGAATTGGATTGTCGACCCTTAGTGGGCAGTGGCTCGCTGAACACTGAGTCATATTGGGACTTTAGTATCTCACTCATTTCTTAGCTATCATCTGTGTATGTCCCATCCCACCTAAGCAGGGGCCCAATACTGGATGTTGTTTTTCCCTTAGATTTGGCATAAGAGAAAAAGTATTTTGGGTTTTTTCAATTTCTTTTATGGCTTTTAGTTCTTCCTGTGATTCTTGTCTCCTATAAGATTCCTTCAGCTTAAGTTCGATATTTGCAATTTCATTGACTAGTGCCTCCCTTCATATTTCAGATATATTGACCCGACTCGGCAGCTCTGTGACTCTTCGTCTTCGTCTGCATAGGGAACGTCTCTCTCTTTCTAGTTTACATCTTCTCTTTCTTTTTCTTAATGAAATGTGTCTTGAGCAAATCTCAAGAACCACAGAATTCATTTTTTCAAGGCAAATGTTCAGATCTGTGTTGTTTAGGATATCTTCCCAGCTTGTTTCATTTAGGACATGGTTTACTTGATCCCATTGCATGTTTTTGTTATTGAAATTGAACTTCGTGAAGAGACCTTCATGACTGCTCACATTTTGCTGGTTCAGAGCCCTGTGCATACATGTCTGTACCCCTATTATGTTGTGATCTGAGTGAATTGTCTTTGATAGTTATATTACGTATCAGATCATCATTGCTAGTGAAGATTAGGTCCAGTGTATTTTCTAGTCTTGTAGGCTCTACTATTTGCTGGTTTAAGGTGAATTTGGTGCAGAGATTTAATAGTTCATATGTGTGTGAATTTTCATCAGAGCTGCCTCCCGGGGTGATCTCTGCTAAAACATTGTTTGCTATACTCCTCCATTTTAGGTGTCTCAGGTTGAAATCTAGTAGTAACATGTTTGGGGCAGGAGTTGGGACATTTTCCAGACAGTGGTCAATTTTCTTAAGCTGCTCCTGGAATTGCCGGGAAGTTGCATCTGGAGGCTCATATACTACCACAATGACAAGGTTTTGGTTTTTGATCTTTACCGCCAAAACTTCAACTACATCATTTGAAGTGTTTAGTAGTTCTGCACAAATGAGCGACTCTGTGACATACAGGCCAACCCCCCCTTGTTGCCTGTTTAGTCTGTCGCATCGGAATAGGTTATAACCTGGGATCCATATTTCGTTGTCATAATTCTTTATGCGGGTCTCTGTGAATGCTGCAAACATTGCATTTGACTCCATGAGCAGTCCCTTGATGTAAGGAATTTTGTTTTTTGACGGCTTTAGACCCTGCATGTTTGCAAAGACAGATGTCGTTTTGGTGGAATTTAGGGGGGGTTTATTTGCTGGCTCTAATATCTGTTGTTCTGGGGGTAGAGGCCAATGTCCGTGCCTCTGCTCCGGAAGTGTTTTCAGGTGGTGTAGGATTATTGTCATTTCTTGCCAGTCTTTTTTTCCCTTCTGGCCCTAAAAACCTCTGTCCCTGGAGAGGTTGTGGCTCCTCTCTTTTGTTTCCCATAGTCTGGCTGGTCTGTGTCTTCTAGTCCCCTTTAGATGATGTGTCTGGCAGTACGCTTTGTAGCATTTTCTTTCATGGATTGATGAGTGACACATTTCTGGGTGAAATAAGTCTAATGTCCTTGTCAGAATGAATTTGATGGCCTATTTTGGTGACATCGGCAAACTTGCTTATGCCGCTATTTATTCCCTCGTCTATGTCGTTTATGTAGCTTGTGTATAACAAGGGACCCAACACTGACCCTTGTGGAACACCGCTCGTGACGTTCCCTACTCTGATTTCTCCCCATTTATGCAATCACTGCTGCCTATCTGTCAACCACACCTCAATCCAGGAAAAAATATCTCCTATTCCGTGTGCCTTAATTTTCCTCAATAGTCTCTGATATGGGACTCTATCAAAAGCCTTACTGAAGTCCATACACACAATATCATATTCATTACCATGATCTACCTCCTCAAATACCTTAGTGAAAAAAGTTAGTAAATTCATAAGGCAGGAATTCTCTTTTGTAAAACCATACTGAGATTCGTTGATCAATTTATGCTTTTCAAGACGGCTACGAATTGCCTCGGCAATTATTGATTCCATAAATTTTCCCACTATGGAGGTTAGGCTTGTTGGTATACTATAGACAACCCTAACCTCCAGGTCCTTAGCTTCGAACTATAGACTCTATAGTTCGCAGCTAAGGACCTGTCACCTGCTTTGAAAATAGGTATCACATTTGCTATTTTCCACTTATCTGGCACCATGCCAGTTTGTAGTGATATGTTGAAAAGATTAACCAAAGGTTTGCTAAGCTCCTCTTTACATTCCTTTAGAAGCCTTGCATACATTTCTTCAGGGCCCAGGGATTTGTTAAGTTTCAATTTGTTTAAGGACCATGTCACTTGTGACTCTAATCGTGCATAGTTTATTATCATCTTGTTCTACATAGCTTATTATTTCTGGAATATTGCTAGTATCTTCCTGTGTAAAAACTGAGAAGTAAGTGTTAAAAATTCTATACATTTCCTTATCACTGTCGGTGAGCTGCCCCGAGTAACTTTTGAGTGGGCTTATCTTGTCCCTGATCTTACTTCTGTATACCTGAAAGAATCCTTTTGGGTTAGTTTTCGATTCCCTTGCAACTTTAACCTCATAATCTCTCTTCGTTTTTCTTATTCCCTTTTTTTATTTGTCTTTAACTGAATATATTGATTTCTTAACTGCCCCTCTCCTCTTTTATATGCCTCTCTTTTGACCACTGAGATGTTTTAATCTATTGTGTATCCATTTAGGCTAATTTTTGTTTGATTTGATTTGCCTATTTAGAATATAAGTAGTCTGAGCAGCTAGAACTATGCTCTGGAAAATGTCATATCGGCAACCATCACCACCTACCTGACCCATAGTCAGGTCATTCCAATTCAGCCCACCCAGGTAATTTCTTGGTCCTATGAAATCAGCCAAGCGGAAGTCAGGGACAGAGACTTGATTGCCATTATTGGGGTAATTCCATGATATATTAAAACTGAGTGATTTGGGATCACTTTCCCCAAGCTCATCATTAACTTCAAGATTATTAATCAGTGATTCCTTGCTGGCAAGATCCAAGTCAAACAGGTTATTTCCTCTAGTTGGTTCGGTCACAAATTGTTTTGGAAAAGAATCTTGAATCGTATCAAGAAAGTCGCTTGACTCTAAATTTCCTGTCAAATTGCTTCAGTCAATTTGTCTAAAAGTTAAAACTTCCCATTAGCACAACTTTTTTCGTAGGTAGATTGTAGATGCCTTACGAATTCCCATTGAAGTTTGCTGCACTCCCTATTAAGGTTTTGGGGCCTGTAAATCACACCCAAGATTAGTTTTTCACGGCCCTCAAGAAGCTGTAACCAAACTGATTCAGTGGCTGACGCTTGTAATTTTATATCTTGTCTAGCACAACAATTTAAATTATCTCTGATATACATCACTACTCCACCACCCTTCCTGCTGACCCTATCAGTGTGGAATAATTTATAGCCTTGTATGTGGCATTCACAAGGCATTTCTCTATATTTCAGATTGAGCCAAGCCTCTGTTATAGCAATAATACCTATGCTTTCTGCACTTGCAATTAATCTTAGCTCTATCTTATTTCTTACACTCCTGGTATTAGTACAGTAAACCAGAGTTAGTCTCTCACTACCCTCTGCTGTCTCCCTTTGCTGACCTGATCCATTGTCTTTATTTGTAACTTTATGATGAATAATGTCTTTTAAACATTTACTGCTTTCAACCTTAATGCTGCATCCTGACTGTTTCCCACACACACCCATACCTCTATCCTCTTATCAGTTTAAAATCCTTGACATGTCAGCAATGGCCCTCTCGATCGAGTTGACAAATGCTACCACCCCTGCCCCAGACAGATGTACCCCATCCCTTGCATATATATCATGTTTGCCATAAAAGTTGCCCCAGTTGTCAGTGAATTTGATTACAAGTTCCTTGCAGTATCTGGCTAGCCAGCAATTTACACCAATTGCCCGAGACATCCATCCATTGCCCATTCCCCTTCTAGGCAAGATGCTACATTTGATTGGGACCCCTCCCTTAGACCTAATAAAAGCTATAGCCGACATGTACTTATCTAGCAGCTCTTCTCATCTACCCTTCCTGATATTTCCACCAGCACTGAGACAGATAATGGGCTTCTTTCCATTACCTGACATATTATCCAACCTGTTGACTATGTCACCAACACCAGCACAGGAAAAACACACACTCTCTCACCTTCTTATTCCTGTCACAGAAAGCACGGTCCATATATCTAACCTGTGAATCACCAACCACAAGAATGTGGTTACCTGTATTAGCAGAGGAGGTAGCAGCTTTACCTTCACTGACAGCTGAAGTACACTCATCCTGAAGAACAGAGAAACGTAGGTTTATTCAGGTATACACAAATAGTTACATAGATTATCATACATATCAGCATGTGTGTAAAGAACCTAGGATAACGATTTCATACCTTCAAATTATTTCTCTTAACTTATTTTGATGCTCCTCCCATTACTGGGAACCACTCACCATTTGTAGCAGGTGCTGGACTACTGCTCACTGCTAACCTTTTCGTCCTCGCCTCCTTCAGCCACCTCGCAGCGAGTGACTGACTGCTCCTCACTGCTAGTAGCCTCATCCTCCTCACCCATTCCAGCCACTTCGCACTCATTCCCAAACCCATCGAGGTGATCCTTCAGCCTCCGAATCTTCTCCTGGAGAAGTAAGACCTCCTTCAACCAGGGCCGGATTTACAAGGGGGCAAAGAGGTTAACTGCCCCAGGCCCCCCTGCCAGAGGAGCCCCCCAGACGAACGACTTGCTTTATAACTAAATGTAATAATAAAAAATTAATTTAATTAATAAAAGGAATTAAATAAAGTGTGTGGGGGGGATCAGAAAATACCTGGAGTACACCTGGAGAGGGTTTCGAGGGTCAACGTCCCCGCAACCCAGTCTGTGACCAGGCCTCATGGTGGAGCAGGGCTTGATCAACCAGGCTGTTACTGTTGGAATAGGTGCCTGTCCAGTACCTTCTTGAAGACAGTCAGGGGTCTATTGGTAATCTCCCCTTATTTATACTGGGGGGCAGTTGAACAGTCTTGGGCCCCTGACACTTTATTGTGTTGTCTCTTAACGTGCTAGTGACACCCCTGCTTTTCATTGGGGGGATGTTGAATCATCTCCCGAGTCTTTTGCTTTCATAGGGAGTGATTTTCGTGTGTAAGTTTGGTACTAATCCCTCTAGGATTTTCCAAGTGTATATAATCGTGTATCTCTCCCGCCTGCGGCCTAGGGAGTACAAGTTGAGGAACTTCAAGCATTCCCAGTAACTGAGGTGTTTTATCGCAGTTATGTGTGCCGTGAAGGTTCTCTGTACACTTTCTAGGTCAGCAATTTCACCTGCCTTGAAAGGTGCTGTTAGTGTGCAGCAATATTCCAGCCTAGATAGGACAAATGACCTGAAGATTGTCATCATGGGCTTGGCATCCCTAGTTTTGAAGGTTCTCATTATCCATCCTGTCATTTTTGTAGCAGATGCAGTTGATACAATGTTATGGTCTTTGAAGGTGAGATCCTCTGGCATGATCACTCCCAGGTCTTTTCCATTAGTTTGTCCCTCTATTGTGTGGTTGAAATTTGTTTTATACTCCGATATAGCTTTAATTTCCTCACGTTTTCCATATTGGAGTAATTGAAATTTCTCATCATTGAACTTAATATTGTTTTCTGTGCCCCATTTAACGATTTGGTTGATGTCTGCCTGGAGTCTTGCGGCGTCTTCAGTGGAGGACACTGTCATGCAAATTCGGGTGTCATCTGCGAAGGAAGACACTGTACTGTGGCTTACATCCCTGTCTATGTCAGATATGAGGATGAGGAACAGGATGGGAGTGTGTACTGTGCCTCAGACTTTACTCCGTTTACTACTACGTATTTGTGTTCTCTTGGTTAGGAAATTATAGATCCACCTACCAACTTTTCCTCTTATTCATTTATCACGCATTTTGTGCACTATTACACCATGGTCACACTTGTCAAAGGCTTTTGCAAAGTCTGTGTATACTATATCTGCGTTTTATCTGTCTTCTACGGCATCCAGGACCTTGTCATAGTGGTCCAGTGATTGAGACAGACAGGCGCGACCTGCTCTAAACCTATGTTGCCTGGGTTGTGTAAGTGATGGGTATCTAGGTGGGTGGTGATTTTGCTTCTTAGAACCCTTTCAAAGATTTTTATGATATGGGACGTTAGCGCTTTACTGCCACCTTTGTGGAGTGGGGCTATGTCTGTTGTTTTTAGCAGCTGTGGGACGACCCGCATCCATGCTCCCTCTCCATAGGATGTTAAAAGCACATGATAGGGGCTTCTTGCAGTTTTTGATGAACAGGGAGTTCCATGAGTCTGGGCCTGGGACAGAGTGCATGGGCATGTCATTTATTGCCTTTTCGAAGTCATTTGACATCATGGTAATATCAGATAGGTTCAAGTCTGCCGAATTCTGTCTCATAAAAAATTCATTTAGGTTTACGACTCTGGTTAGCGGCTCGCTAAAAACCAAGTCATATTGGAACTTGAGTAGCTCGCTCACTCCCTTGCTGTCATCTGTGCAGGACCCATCTCGTTGAAGTAGGGGCCCAATACTGGATGTTGTTCTCGACTTCGATTTAGCTAAGGGAAAGACATACGTATTTTGGGTTTCAGTTTCATTTATGGCTTTTAGTGTAATTGTGATGTATAATATTTACGTAAATAATAAATCACGGTATTTGACCGCCCCCATAAAAACTTTCGTAGTCTGAGTGCGGTGGGTAAAGATCCTGTGGCTGTGGCATACTTTTTCTAATATTCATGGTGTACCTTAATCATATTCCCATTCTATTCAAAACTGGGTTGAAAATGTTTAATCATGTTTAGTGATCACATTATTTGAGTACTGTAAAATATATATCAGTGGAACCTCTACTTATGAGTGCATCCACGTGCGAGTTTTTCTAGATATGAACAGTCGCTTGGTCGATTTTTTGCTTCCAGATGCGAGCGAAATTTCCAGGTGGGCCTCAAGTGAGGTTCCTTGACGCTGGTGAGGGGCTCTTGCTCTTGATCTAGGGAAATGGATCTCGGTTGTTTGTTGGACTATCGTATTGAAACTTGGGCAATGTATGATGGAAAGATGATTCTTAACGTATACCAAAAATGAAAGAAATCGGACCAGAAATAACGGAGTTCACTTCTCGGCCATTAGCCGCTCCTTAGTGGTATTTTCTTATGGTTTTTATGGTTGTATTCTCGTTTTTTTTTTTGTCTCATTTGATAGAATGGAAGATATACTACAGAAATAGACATGATTTTGATTGGGTTCACGACGAAAAGTACCTTGAAATTGAGCCCAAAGTAGCAGAAATGTGCGATTCTTTGGCGATGTTCAAGAGTAAACAAATGATATCACTGTCCAATACCTGTCTGATTGGCACTGCCCCTCAACCTTCACATATTGGAAAGCTCTTCAACATGCTAGCAAAAGTGGGAGCAGACATCATGATGTAGCAGCGGCAGACATCATGTGGCAGCAGTGGCAGACAACATGAAGCAGCAGTGGCAGACAACATGAAGCAGCAGTGGCAGACATCATGAAGCAGCAGTGGCAGACATCATGAAGTAGCAGTGGCAGGCATCATGAAACTAGCAGTGGCAGACATCATGAAGCAGCAGTGGCAGACATCATGAAGCAGTAGTGGCAGACATCATGAAACAGCAGTGGCAGACATCATGAAGCAGCAGTGGCAGACAACATGAAGCAGCAGTGGCAGACAACATGAAGCAGCAGTGGCAGACAACATGAGGTAGCAGTGGAGACACATGAAGCACGTGGCAGACAACATGAGGTAGCAGTGGCAGACAACATGAAGCAGCAGTGGCAGACAACATGAGGTAGCAGTGGCAGACAACATGAGGTAGCAGTGGCAGACAACATGAGGTAGCAGTGGCAGACAACATTGTCAGTATAGCTACTGAATTCCCTATACATATGCTTGTGTAATATGTTGTAGATTGTATCATCCATGTATACATTTAGGCTCCCTGCTCAGCTAGGCCCAGTGGCTAGCATGTGTGACGTCATGTGATGCCACATGTGAGCTTCAGACGCTCTGCCTCTCTCAGTTCACCGATAGACCCAACAAGTGTGTTTATCTCCAACCATTATATTTCCACGGAACCCTCCCAACAAATGGCGGCAACGGTGGTCGCGTAAATCTGATATTTACGCAGATGCACGGAAATTAACTTCTACCAGCCGACAAACATTGTGTTGACCGCATGGCGGCCTAAACAGCCAGCTACCCCGCCCAAGCACTCAACAGCCTCTCTGCACTACTTCCTGGTTATTCTTTGTGCTTTCTCTGCTTAATTGCATTACTTTCGAGGGGTTGACCCGAGTTTGCAAATTAAGCCAGCAAGCCAGTCTGTGGGGGGAGACAAGCTCTAAGCCACCCAGCCTGACCCAGTCCTAGCCTAGCCTGCTAAGCCAGCTATCCACCCTGCTGTGCTCGTCAGTACAAGTTCTCAAGCCAGTCTGTGTGAAGGGTTAAGCCAAGCAAGCCAGCCATCTAACCCAGGTGACTAACCCCCAGTACTCAAGCTGTGAAAATTTGTGTGGACTGCCTCCAAGTGAGTCACCTACCCTTGCAAACTCTGTTGACACCGAGCTCTGAGGTGGGTACCTCAGCCTCACAAGTGGCTTATAGGACAGATTTTCACAAATGATTGATGTTGCAAGAAACTCGCCTGCATGCACGTATAAAGGACTAACTTACTTGGTGTTGCAGCATATATCCTGATCTTCAACTTCCCTAAGCTTAGCCTTAGCCCCTTTGGACTTTCCTTCAGAAACCATGTGCAACCAGGAGCCTGAATTCCTGCAATATTCAATCGTTATTAGTGTCCTGCCTGCACCTCAGAAATTCCTATATCCAAAGGGTATGTATCCCCTAGTATAACTATGCAGACACTGACACTAGCTTCCAGACTGCTCTGAGACACTGGTACTTACTGGGCATGCTCTGCCTGTTGCACACCGGGCCCACAGATCAACTCGCTCACAATCTCCCCAGACACTGGCCAGAAATCTACGAGATAAAAGTGGAGGTCTTGTCTTACTGTATGGGCCAGACGGAGGTCATCTACGGTACTTCGAGGTGCCTCTACCAAATTTCCCCAGGTCTCAGATGTGAAGACACGTGGGGGGGGCGCCGTCTGCTGATCACGGCACGTCTTGTCCAGTTGGTGTCTGTCTTAAGAAGAACGAGCTGGTCTCTCTTCCATAGCCTCGTCTCTTCGTTCAAACTAGGGCTGCCAGTTCTCCCTAGCTAACTTATCCTAGTGTTTGCCTACATTATCGGCCTATTACTACCCATGTTAAGGTCTTAGGTCTACATTATTATTATCTACAGATGCCTTAGTAAACCTAATATTAGTGTACTAACAGTAAAACTACCTACTCCTTCCCTGAAGAGTAAATCTATAAATTAAATAAATGCCTACCAACAATCCACCGCCAACTAAAGAGAATGCTGTTTGTTTGGGAGGGTTTTAAGGGCCATCCAGCTCAGCCGTTCCATCACGACCATGCTGGATCTGTCCTGTGGAACTTTAGAGACCAAATAAATTTCCACACAAGCAAGCCACGTGAGTTCCAGCCTTCACCATCGCTTTGTGCTCCCAGTTCAAAGCCATCCTGAGTGCTTATAACATCCATGTGGTATTTTCTGGGTTTTTAAGAAAGCTTGGCTTAGAATATTCTCGTGCCTGTTTGGGTGTAAGCCAGAGCACGTGGGTATGCCGATCATCCAGTCGGCCTAGCCACTCACTCAATGACTCAGCGCTGCCTCGCTCACCCACACCTACCCACCACCATTGTTTTTCACCCTTAAATCGGGTCCTAGCACCCACATAGTGGGTCAAGACTCAAGTGTGTTTCATCATCCCTGTGCGCCAACGACAAAAGCCTAGCTATGTGGGGTGCTTGAGTTTAAGCGCAAATTCTTCGAGACATCGTGTTGAGAAGAGTGGACAGCGGCGCCAGTGACAAACAACAACCTTCCCCACCACCACCTTACCGCCACCCTCATTTCTCCACTGACGTCGCTCCAATGATAATGATCTTTTTATAGAGGCATTTGTGAGTGTTGAGACATTTTTTTCAGTGATTTCTTAGTGACATATCTTTTATGGTGATTTCTTAGTGACTAACTTTTGATTAGACTTACCTGGAGTTTACCTGGAGAGAGTTCCGGGGGTCAATGCCCTGGCGGCCCGGTCTGTGACCAGGCCTCCTGGTGGATCAGAGCCTGACCAACCAGGCTGTTACTGCTGGCTGCACACAAACCAACGTACGAGCCACAGCCCGGCTGGTCAGGAACCGACTTTAGGTGCTTGTCCAGTGCCAGCTTGAAGACTGCCAGGGGTCTGTTGGTAATCCCCCTTATGTATGCTGGGAGGCAGTTGAACAGTCTCGGGCCCCTGACACTTATTGTATGGTCTCTTAACGTGCTAGTGACACCCCTGCTTTTCATTGGGGGGATGTTGCATCATCTGCCAAGTCTTTTGCTTTCGTTGTGAGTGATTTTCGTGTGCAAGTTCGGTACTAGTCCTCTAGGATTTTCCAGGTGTATATAATCATGTATCTCTCCCGCCTGCATTCCAGCGAATACAGGTTTAGGAACCTCAAGCGCTCCCAGTAATTGAGGTGTTTTATCTCCGTTACACGCGCCGTGAAGGTTCTCTGTACATTTTCTAGGTCAGCAATTTCACCTGCCTTGAAAGGAGCTGTTAGTGTGCAGCAATATTCCAGCCTAGATAGAACAAGTGACCTGAAGAGTGTCATCATGGGCTTGGCCTCCCTAGTTTTGAAGGTTCTCATTATCCATCCTGTCATTTTTCTAGCAGATGCGATTGATACAATGTTATGGTCCTTGAAGGTGAGATCCTCCGACATGATCACTCCCAGGTCTTTGACGTTGGTGTTTCGCTCTATTTTGTGGCCAGAATTTGTTTTGTACTCTGATGAAGATTTAATTTCCTCGTGTTTACCATATCTGAGTAATTGAAATTTCTCATCGTTGAACTTCATATTGTTTTCTGCAGCCCACTGAAAGATTTGGTTGATGTCCGCCTGGAGCCTTGCAGTGTCTGCAATGGAGGACACTATCATGCAGATTCGGGTGTCATCTGCAAAGGAAGACACGGTGCTGTGGCTGACATCCTTGTCTATGTCGGATATGAGGATGAGGAACAAGATGGGAGCGAGTACTGTGCCTTGAGGAACAGAGCTTTTCACCGTAGCTGCCTCGGACTTTACTCTGTTGACGACTATTCTCTGTGTTCTGTTAGTGAGGAAATTATAGATACATCGACCGACTTTTCCTGTTATTCCTTTTGCACGCATTTTGTGCGCTATTACGCCATGGTCACACTTGTCGAAGGCTTTTGCAAAGTCTGTATATATTACATCTGCATTCTTTTTGTCTTCTAGTGCATCTAGGACCTTGTCGTAGTGATCCAATAGTTGAGACAGACAGGAGCGACCTGTTCTAAACCCATGTTGCCCTGGGTTGTGTAACTGATGGGTTTCTAGATGGGTGGTGATCTTGCTTCTTAGGACCCTTTCAAAGATTTTTATGATATGGGATGTTAGTGCTATCGGTCTGTAGTTCTTTGCTGTTGCTTTACTGCCCCCTTTGTGGAGTGGGGCTATGTCTGTTGTTTTTAGTAACTGTGGGACGACCCCCATGTCCATGCTCCCTCTCCATAGGATGGAAAAGGCTCGTGATAGGGGCTTCTTGCAGTTCTTGATGAACACGGAGTTCCATGAGTCTGGCCCTGGGGCAGAGTGCATGGGCATGTCATTTATCGCCTGTTCGAAGTCATTTGGCGTCAGGATAACATCGGATAGGCTTGTGTTAACCAAATTCTGTGGCTCTCTCATAAAAAATTCATTTTGATCTTCGACTCTCAGTCTGGTTAGCGGCTTGCTAAAAACTGAGTCATATTGGGACTTGAGTAGCTCACTCATTTCCTTGCTGTCATCTGTGTAGGACCCATCTTGTTTAAGTAGGGGCCCAATACTGGACGTTGTTCTCGACTTTGATTTGGCATAGGAGAAGAAATACTTTGGGTTTCTTTCGATTTCATTTATGGCTTTTAGTTCTTCCCGTGATTCCTGACTCCTATAAGATTCCTTTAGCTTAAGTTCAATGCTTGTTATTTCTATGACCAGTGTCACCCTACGCATTTCAGATATATTGACCTCTTTTAGCCGCTCTGTTATTCTTTTCCGTCGCCTGTAAAGGGAGCACCTGTCTCTTTCTGTTTTACATCTACTCCTCCTTTTTCTTAGAGGAATAAGCCTTGTACATACATCGAGTGCCACCAAGTTAATCTGTTCTAGGCATAAGTTGGGGTCTGTGTTGCTTAGTATATCTTCCCAGCTTATATCGGTTAGGACTTGGTTTACTTGGTCCCACTTTATGTTTTTGTTATTGAAGTTGAATTTGGTGAATGCTCCCTCGTGACTAATCTCATTATGTCGGTCTGGGGCTCCACGCATACATGTCTGAACCTCAATTATGTTGTGATCTGAGTATATTGTTTTTGATATGGTGACATTTCTTATCAGATCATCATTGTTAGTGAAGATGAGGTCTAGTGTATTCTCCAGTCTAGTAGGCTCTATTATTTGCTGGTTTAAATTGAATGTTGTGCAGAGATTTAAAAGCTCGTGTGAGTGTGAGTTTTCATCAGAGCTGCCTCCTGGTGTTATTACTGCAACAATTTGCTATATTCCTCCATTTTAGGTGCCTTAAGTTGAAATCCCCCAGGAGCAAGATGTTGGGTGCAGGAGCTGGAAGATTTTCCAGACAGTGGTCAATTTTTAACAGCTGTTCCTGGAATTGCTGGGATGTTGCATCTGGAGGCTTGTAGACTACTTTACTGCTAAAACTTCCACTACATCATTTGAGGCATTAAGCAGTTCTGTGCAAACAAGTGACTCTGCAATGTACAGGCCACCCCCCCCCTTTTGCCTGTTCACTCTGTCACATCTGTATAGGTTGTAACCTGGGATCCATATTTCGTTGTCCAAGTGATCCTCTATGTGGGTCTCAGTGAAAGCCGCGAACATTGCCTTTGCCTCTGCAAGCAGTCCACGGATGAAAGGTATTTTGTTGTTTGTTGCTGGCTTTAGACCCTGTATATTTGCAAAGAAGAATGTCATCGGACTGGTGGTATTGTTGGTACTGGGGGGGGGGGGTTCCAGCATTAGTATCTGTATCTGTTGGTTTGGAGTGGAGGCCATCGACTGTGGTTCCACTCCAGAAATGACTGGATTTGGTGTACGATTTCTGCCATTTCCTGCGAGTTTTTTTTTCCTTCCTGGCACTAAAAAACCTCTCCCTCTTGAGTGGCTGTGGCTACCCAGGTTTTCCCATGGCCTGGATGTTTTGTATCTTTTTGTCCCCTTTAGATGGTGTGCCTGGCAATTTAAGTTATAGCACAGTCTTTCCTGTACCGAAGAGGTACACATTTCAGGGTGAAAAAGCTTACAGGAAGGGAGTTTGCATTTTCCTGTTGTCATATGGGCACGGCATTTTCTAGGGTGGTCATAGTTGCACGTCTACCAACCTACTACCTAGAATATATATATATATATATATATATAAACATGGCAAATGCATAAAGGTAGGACTTCACATATCTTCGTAAGCTGTGGTCATCCTGGTGAGGCAATCCCCAGTCATTGTAGTTCAAGACAATGATAAATGCTGTAATCACCACAGAAAGAAGACAGGTCTTGGACAATAGCATCCATGTGAATAAATTTCCATGGTAGATTTCAAATATTCTGTGACTTATACAGGTTTATCATTTATCACATGTTTTTGAGTACAATAATACTGTAAGAAGCAGGAAAATCAAAGCTTATGTTAGTACAGCCTCTCTCTTTTAGCATTGTACTCATTTACTGACGACCTGGACTTATGATGGGCTCTCTGACCAGTTTGCATACCTAAATAATGTATATTAGAGCTGATTTACTCTAATTTTGTATAGTGTATTACAATATACAGTACACTACTGTATAAACATTTAAAAATATATTAAAAATTTTATAAATGGTGCAAGGGTAACATTAAAACAATATCAAAGACGGTTGACAGAAACCCACAGCCATTATAGTATTCTCCTCGCTTAGTGATGAATTCGTTTAGTGACGTGGTCTTAGAAATGGAACTCTGTTGTTAAGTGAGGAGAGGCTGTAATATTATTATTATTATTAAATTCTTGGGTGAGAGCTTAGTTAACCCATAGGCCTCGTACAGCACCAGGGGAGTGAAGGCACTCTGTTCAGAGGAAAGACAGGGTAGTTCCAATTCCTTGGATCAAGAGTCCTTCAGCATTAACGAACCACCTTGAAAGAGTTAAATAATTTAGTATTAGCTCTACCAGTTTTTCCAAGACCTACTGTGGATAGTAGTGAACTCAATATATATTTCATTTACATACATAACCTTTCACAAAGTTTAATTGATAAATTAGGCAAAATAAGTCTAGAATTAGTACTTCTTCACTGATGAGAAGCTTTTCATGGCTTCTCTTAGGCTCTAAAGAACTGCCAGCATTACTACCTTTGTGCTTTGGGGCCATTGTTAAGCAAAATTAAGGGTTATTTTTGGGCCACAGTAAACCGTGGATAACTAAAACTGTAGATAAATCAGTGGATACAAAGTTCTACTATATATGCCTGAAAATCAGGCTTTGCATTATGGTGTGAGCAGACACATAATAAATAAATAAAGGATCATAAAATAAAAAAAAGTATATATTCCAACATGTATTCAGAGTGACATTAGTCACTACAGCTTACACTGCTTTCCTTTTATAGAGGATGGTACGGTGATAGAAAATGGGTGAGAGAAGCAATACTCGATAGCTCATTCTGAAAGTTGTACAGATTATGAATGAAAACTTTAAGTAGAGAAATTGTGCCGTGACTATAATAATTTTAAAATATGAAAATAAAAATCTCAAATACCATAGAACTCTGAAAATGTTGAAAAACAGGCTATAAGGAACAGAGATGTAAAGAACCTACCATGGCACAAAATATATACAAAAAGGCTA